TTAGCGACAATGTTTAGGTACAGGGTTTAGTGACAGGGTTTAGTGACAGGGTTTAGTGACAGGGTTTAGTGACAGGGTTTAGTGACAGGGTTTAGTGACAGGGTTTAGTGACAGGGTTTAGTGACAGGGTTTAGCGACAATGTTTAGGTACAGGGTTTAGTGACAGGGTTTAGTGACAGGGTTTAGTGACAGGGTTTAGTGACAGGGTTTAGTGACAGGGTTTAGCGACAATGTTTAGGTACAGGGTTTAGTGACAGGGTTTAGTGACAGGGTTCAGTGACGGGGTTCGGTGACTGTCCTCTACGAGAGGTGTCGGTGATTATTTTATTTTTTTGCTGAATGACTGGGTTCTAAAACCAAGAGAAAAAAAGGTTTAGGTTTTTTAAAAAAATGTACACAGAGCTGCACCGACGTCTTGATGTCATTTTATAGGAGGCTGCACCGACGTCTTGATGTCATTCTGTAGGAGGCTGCACCGACGTCTTGATGTTATTCTGTAGGAGGCTGCACCGACGTCCTGACATAAATCTGGCATTGACACATCCATCTGTGACACCAATAGACCTGACACTTCCGGTACAACATACAGGTGAATAGACTCGAGCCTCTTGAGGGAGGCGTTAAAGAGGATCTTTAATTAACCGTACGCTCTCTCGCTCGCATAAAACGCCGTCACCATGGCAACAAGGACGCTGCCGAGTCAGATAATGAAGACCTCACATGAAGATGGCGTCACAAGGACACGATCACTCACCCATTGTGTGTCCGAGTGAGGTCCACCGTGCGGGCTGGAGGATTGTCTTGCCCAAATTAGCGTTTAGATCGCGGGTTGTTGTCCCAACACAGGCCCCATTGTCCCCCCCTTCCCCTCCCCCTCAAGACGGCATTGAGAAGCGTCACCGGAACCTAGACAAAAGTAGGCTGGGTAATGGCCAAGATGGCGGCCGGATAACAATAGGGCTAAACAAAGTGTCGAGATCCGCGGGTTCAGTTGGCGTTGGGACTTAGCGGTTTACAGGTGGGGCACCGGGCTGTTATGTAAGGGACGGGTTGACCAGTGGTCAGCTGGACGGAGCAGAACAAACACTGAAGCTGTGTAATGCGGGTTGATGATCTGGGGTTAAATAAAGCGTGCAAGAATATGTGTGTGTGGGAGGGGAGAGGGGGTTGAGACGCGTGTGGTCAGGGAGGCGAGATTGTAATCGTGTTTGTGACGCCCAAAGACCAGTGCAGCGGTCCCCAACCCGTCCCATACAGCTACCAGCGGTCCCCACCCCGTCACATACAGCTACCAGCGGTCCCCACCCCGTCACATACAGCTACCAACGACAACCAACCTAACTCCCGTACAACTACCAGCATCCACTACCCCGTCCCACCACCCCGTCGTGCGGATGGTATGGATATCCCTGCTTGATACATGTGGATGGTATGGATATCCCTGCTTGATATATGCGGATGGTATGGATATCATTTATTTCTTAGCACCTCTAAACACGAGGCAGGTTTGAAATTTCAACAATCTGTATACAACACTATTGGATTAGTGAAATCTTGAACACATATATTGGATTAGTGAAATCTTGAACACATATATTGGATTAGTGAAATCTTGAACACATATATTGGATTAGTGAAATCTTGAACACATATTGGATTAGTGAAATCTTGAACACATATATTGGATTAGTGAAATCTTGAACACATATATTGGATTAGTGAAATCTTGAACACATATATTGGATTAGTGAAGTCTTGAACACATATATTGGATTAGTGAAATGTTGAACACATATATTGGATTAGTGAAATCTTGAACACATATACTGGATTAGTGGCATCGTCAATCCGATCACGTTAATCTCCCAGCATGAGGAGACACGGCACACCCTGCACTAATCTGCACTCTAGGTGTTACGTCAGCAAGAACGCCCCGTCCCCCGGGGCTAGTGGCAAGACGATCCCTCATTGTGTCCGCCCAGAAAGTGTTTCAATGCTCCGGCCACGTAACCTGGAACCCGAGCCGGCAAGCCTGGCCGGAATGCCGGAGATCGTTACAGCGAGTCAACAACCGGCTGATCCTTGCCGGCCTTCCAAACTCCTGGTGCTGTTGTATTGTGGCCCGCACGGCTCAGGGCACGCCCGGCCCGGCTAGACGTGACACGGCCGGGGTAAGAGCCGCAGCCAGGTGTTCAGGGCCCGGTTTGTTGGGGGGAAGTTATTCAAGGTTTACCCTACGCGACACCAAGAATTAGCTGCAGCAAAGCTCGGCAATGGAGGGCCGGTGCTGGAGGAGTGTCCCGAGAGATGGGCCGGGACAAAAGACAGCAAACACCAGCGCTGGTGACCGGAGCGTCTTTTAAACACTGTTTTCTTCTTCAAACCTACACTGGGGTTTGTGTCACAGGACTGATACACGCCGTGTTTGCCGCGCTAGGCATGCTGGGGCTGGTCACGTGATGCTGATTTCAGACAGAGGGAGTAGAGGCTCATGGGAGGGGAGGGGGCGTGGTGATCGTGACTGGGCTTCTACGTCCCCCCAGCCCCAGGTGTGAGGGTCTACTGTTACGTGGTGGGAAACTCCGTCATGTCAAAGCCATATATTTTTCTCAGGTATTTTTACTTTTCAGGGCTGGGGGTGGGGGGGGGGGGGAAGAGAGAGTATACAACATGACCGTATGTATCTCAGCGTGCGGGATCTATTGGTATTGTCCTAGTTAGTCCGTACCAATCGAAGTCACTAGACCCTAAAGTGTGTATGATTGGTTGCTACCGACACAATGCTGTTGCTCTATTGCTACCCCAGTTCTGATCTCACTGTAATGTTGACCAATTGGTCACGTGACGTAACGGGTATTCAGCCTAGGCCAGGGCGTTGACCTTTAACGATGACACACAATTTATTACCAACCCTAACCTAGTCACATCTTGATACTGACGTCTTGATACTGACATCTTGCCACTAACATCTTGCCACTAACATCTTGCCACTAGCACCTTGCCACTAACATCTTACCACTAATGTCTTGCCACTAACATCTTGCCACTAACATCCCGCCACTAACATCTTGCCACTAATGTCTTGCCACTAACATCTTGCCACTAACATCCCGCCACTAACATCTTGCCACTAATGTCTTGCCACTAACATCTTGCCACTAACGTCTTGCCACTAACGTCTTGCCACTAACATCTTGCCACTAACATCTTGCCACTAACATCTTGCCACTAACATCTTGCCACTAACGTCTTGCCACTAACATCTTGCCACTAACGTCTTGCCACTAACATCTTGCCACTAACATCTTGCCACTAACATCTTGCCACTAACATCTTGCCACTAACATCTTGCCACTAACGTCTTGCCACTAACGTCTTGCCACTAACATCTTGCCACTAACATCTTGCCACTAACGTCTTGCCACTAACGTCTTGCCACTAACATCCCGCCACTAACATCTTGCCACTAACATCTTGCCACTAACATCCCGCCATTAATGTCTTGCCACTAACATCTTGCCACTAACATCCCGCCATTAATGTCTCACCACTAACATCTTGCCACTAACGTCTTGCCACTAACATCTTGCCTCTAACATCTTGCCACTAACATCTTGCCACTAACATCTTGCCACTAACGTCTTGCCACTAACATCTTGCCACTAACATCTTGCCACTAACATCTTGCCACTAACATCTTGCCACTAACATCTTGCCACTAACATCTTGCCACTAACATCTTGCCACTAACATCTTGCCACTAACATCTTGCCACTAACATCTTGCCACTAATGTCTTGCCGCTAACATCTTGCCACTAACAACTTGCCACTAACGTCTTGCCACTAACATCTTGCCACTAACATCTTGCCACTAATGTCTTGCCACTAACATCTTGCCACTAACATCTTGCCACTAACATCTTGCCACTAATGTCTTGCCACTAACGTCTTGCCACTAACATCTTGCCACTAACATCTTGCCACTAACATCTTGCCACTAACATCTTGCCACTAACATCTTGCCACTAACATCTTGCCACTAACATCTTGCCACTAACATCTTGTCACTAACATCTTGCCACTAACATCTTGCCACTAACATCTTGCCACTAACATCTTGCCACTAACATCTTGCCACTAACGTCTTGCCACTAACATCTTGCCACTAATGTCTTGCCACTGACGTTTTGCCACTAACATCTTGCCACTAATGTCTTGCCACTAACATCTTGCCACTGACATATTGCCACTAACGTCTTGCCACTAACATCTTGCCACTAATGTCTTGCCACTGACGTTTTGCCACTAACATCTTGCCACTAATGTCTTGCCACTAACATCTTGCCACTGACATATTGCCACTAACGTCTTGCCACTAACATCTTGCCACTAATGTCTTGCCACTGACGTTTTGCCACTAACATCCCGCCACTAACATCCCGCCACTAACATCTTGCCACTAACATCTTGCCACTAACGTCTTGCCACTAACACTTCATGTCAGTCCATGAGACAACTGACAGGTCAGACAACATGGCCGACCTGACGTCATCACGGACTGACAACAAATTTCTCCAGATGTCGCCTCAAATGACCGCCAGACACGCAGCGCCCCGCCCTGATACACCGGCCTGTTTGGTTCCACTGCCACACGTCATTTCCGGTCTGTGCTGACCATCAAAGTAGGAGGAAGCGGACTACAGGGAGATAATGCACGCATTGTTTTCAAGCACAGGAGAGTTCCACATGAGTAGGTTCAGCTCGTCATTCGCTGTGACAGGTAGATGGGGGATAACTCGGGGTGACTCGAGGACATAGCTCGTGTTTGCTTTCAATATTTGAACTACAATATCAGAGCTAAACATTGTACTTCAACTCACTAAAACTACAATATCAGAGCTAAACTTTGTATTTCAACTCACCAAAACAACAATATCAGGTGCCAATGTTAATTTTAGAAGGTACCAATGTTAAATTCACACATGTGCTCATGTTAACTTCACACAGGTGACAATAAATGTTTATGAGGCTTTTCTTTCTTCAAGTAGTTTTCAACTTGTCTACATCTTGTTCCTGCAGGATCTCTAGCATCTAGTACTTGGACAATCACATCAGAAGAATCAATAACCTTGTATAATTCATTCCATATTCTCTTAGAAGTTCCAGCTTTAAACACAATTTCCAACTGTTCACTTTTCACCCCATCCTCTTGGGGCACCAATGTACTCTGACTTTCTTCCCACTTCTGAAGGTCAGTTTCTGCATTTTTTACCATTTCATCAAGATCATAAGTAGAAAGTGTAGGCTTCTTCCTAGTTGCTTTCTTACCAAACACCTGTTCAAAGGGTTCACGATCCAAAAGTCTTGGAGATGGTGCCGCTTTTGGAGTGTAACTCAGTAAAGTTACAGGGTTCTTGGTTGGGTTCATTACAACTTTATATGGGTCAGCTTTTATTTTATTAATCGCTTCATTGAAGGCCTGCAAGGCATTTTGTGTAACAACGCTTGTGTTACCAAACCACTTTCTGTTAGGCTCTACCCTAGCCATGGTGCCAGATTTGAGGGTTGACTGAAAAGGCGCAGGTTGAACTATTCTACCAGAACGATCTCTCTTTGGCTTGAAGTTTTTATACATCTTCAACCGATTGATAGTAGACCTGTCTCTCATCCCTGCTGATGTCTTGGGACGATCAGGATTTAGACTGTGATTCGCCTTATTGGACGTTTCCCTTTCTAAAGCTCTGTCTTCCCTTTCAATTGCATCAGCTATCTTCTTTTCAACCCATTTAGCCTTTTCTGCCCCAGTGTACCCTAACGAATCAGCCAACTCAATGAATTTGGCATAGTCCTCCATCTTATTGGTCCAAGAAAAGTTATTCAGTTACTAAAATGTCAACAATACTAAATCTAGATCTAATCCCGTACTTTACGGTGCGGAGCACCGCTCACTTCTGACACCAAAATGTCACGGCCCTTTTGTATGACTGGGTTCATGGCACGAACTAAAGGCAAATACAAACCACATTATTGGTGATTTTACAGTCTTTTATTGATATCAGATATATAGCAGCTACCCTACTAGAACCACGACTTCAGTTTCATCATCTCCTCGCGCTCTCTCTACCTCTCTCTGCTTCCTTTCCTTAGCGCATGCGCACACCCATCCTATATTTTATATTCATATCGCCTTTTTTAGATACATACTCGAAACATACATTCATCTACATGTAACTGTTACATTAACTTTACAAGGTGCCAATGTTAACTTTACACATGTGCCAATGTTAACTTTACACAGGTGCGAATGTTAACTTTACACAGGTGCGAATGTTAACTTCACACAGGTGCGAATGTTAACTTTACACAGGTGCGAATGTTAACTTCACATGGGTGCCCATGTTAACTTCACACAGGTGCCAATGTTAACTTTACACAGGTGACAATGTTAACTTCACACATGTGCCAATGTTAACTTCACACAGGTGCCAATGTTAACTTTACACAGGTGCGAATGTTAACTTCACATGGGTGCCCATGTTAACTTTACACAGGTGCCAATGTTAACTTTACACAGGTGACAATGTTAACTTTACAAGGTGACAATGTTAAATTTACACAGGTGACAATGTTAACTTTACACAGGTGCCAATGTTAACTTTACAAGGTGCCCATGTTAACTTCACACAGGTGCCAATGTTAACTTTACAAGGTGCCAATGTTAACTTCACACAGGTGCCAATATTAACTACACAGGTGCCAATGTTAACTTTACACATGTGACAACCCTTTCTTCACAGTGAGACGTGACTATATTTTACAAATGTTTTTATTTCTTTAATTTTATTGTTACACTTAACAGCTCTATGTTGAAACATAAAAAATACAAAAATCTAACTAGTTGACAAATGGTCCGGCTACGAGCAGGAAACATGGCAACGCTTTCAGTAATAGTGTTCACATAATGACATGACCCATGAGCCTAGGAAGAAAGTGTCCTTATAAAACAATATTTAGCAAACAATATGACACAGCAGACGACGACACTGACAACAGGTGAGGTATTCGCTCAACTGGTCCCAAACATCTTAACATCGATGATTCGTCTCACAGTCAGTCGGAGACACATCACGTGACAGATCAGTCGGAGACACACCACGTGACAGATGCCAGACTAATTGGGCGCACCGGAAACGGCCGTCTGCTCGCCACAAATATTTGCTGGCCCGATAGGTTGAGTTTTAAAACAAGCAGTCTTTACGTCGGGGAATGGGGATCAAATTCCTGCGCTGAAAAAAAATAGTACGACGTTATGAAACTGTTGGATGACTTGAACTGTCAATTAGCGGCTAAATATAGTATCACGACGCTCCTGGCTCAGTGGGTTGAGCACCTGGAATGGGACAGTTGGGGCTGGATCGAATCATGTGTGTTACGTGGATCGACCTCAACTATTTACTGGCGCTAGGCACGGGATCAAAACACACCGAGACAAGTAATAGACTGGGTTTTATTGCATTGAGTTGCATCGTGTTTAGTTAAATATCACAACTTTTCTTAATTAACATCATTTCTTAAAGAACAAGTAAATCCTAGTCATCAGTGCACTGTTCCTTTGATAGACAGAGTCAAAGAAAAACGGCGAATGCATGATATTTTACCATATCAAACTAAGCATGACATTTTATAATATCAACTAAACATGACATTTTAAATATCAAACTAAACATCACTTTTTACAAAATGAAACTAAACATTTACTATTTGAAACTAAACATGGCATTTTACACCATCAAACCAACTGTTCTCAATGCCATTTTAGCAGCCGTCACCACCATATCAGCTATCATCTCATCAGCTACCATCTCACCAAACATAATGCCTCCCCCCTCCCCCCCCCCCCCCCATTACTCTCAAGCGCCGTAACTTGTAGAATACCAGTCCCCAGTGTAACTCAGTCAAAGACTTTATTTTCACGTTATTGTCTGTTCCGGGGCCGTCAGAATTCCCCCCCCCCGTCCCTCCCACCCCTTACTATGTTAACGACACAGGTTGCCACTGGTACTTTACTGTCGTCGATTGTGTGACGTCACGGGTCACGCGTCATGTGGCTAGAGAGACCGTGAATTATAGTTCAAGTGCTAGATACAGAACGTTATGGCGTCAGTGTGGAGTCAGTGGACTGAGATGGTGTCAGGATTATAGCTGGGCTGAGATGGTGTTATGATTATAGCTGGGCTTAGATGGTGTTAGGATTATAGCTGGGCTGAGATGGTGTTAGGATTATAGCTGGGCTGAGATGGTGTCAGGATTATAGCTGGGCTGAGATGGTGTTAGGATTATAGCTGGGCTGAGATGGTGTTAGGATTATAGCTGGGCTTAGATGGTGTTAGGATTATAGTTGGGCTGAGATGGTGTTATGATTATAGCTGGGCTTAGATGGTGTTAGGATTATAGCTGGGCTGGGATGGTGTCAGGATTATAGCTGGGCTGAGATGGTGTTATGATTATAGCTGGGCTGAGATGGTGTTAGGATTATAGTTGGGCTGAGATGGTGTTAGGATTATAGCTGGGCTGAGATGGTGTTAGGATTATAGCTGGGCTGAGATGGTGTTAGGATTATAGCTGGGCTGAGATGGTGTCAGGATTATAGCTGGGCTGAGATGGTGTTAGGATTATAGCTGGGCTGAGATGGTGTTAGGATTATAGCTGGGCTGAGATGGTGTTAGGACTTACTCTAATAGACGAGTCGATAAATGAACGTTTGTTACGCAGCACAAATTAGAACATGTTTATCAGTTGCAACTTTTTGAGGTCTTTCTTTGCCACGAACTGTCAAACCCGCTAGTCCGGTTACTCGTATCTCAAATTTTGTTCGAATCTCATAGGAAATTCTAGCTCGCTAGACGCTCGTAAAATGTTACCTGAGTTGTGCTTACTGCTGGTTACCTGAGTTTTGCTTACTGCTGGTTACCTTATGTCAAGGGTATAATGAAGATGAAGCTTGTAAGTGTGTCGTCACAACGACGTCAGGTGATCCGGTGCACACACTTTGCTGACGTTTACCCCTGTTGGTTCACGCACAGATTCTAAAAATAGACCCAGCCCAAAATGAGAGCAGTGAATGGATTACCGTTTGACGTGATCTCGACGTGATCACCCGTCACGTCGCCACCACGCATGCCACAGCCAGCGTACTGCCGCAAGAGGTGTAACTCTAATGACCTACAGTTGTTTCCCTTGCATGGTGGTTATTTACATTTAGACTAGATTGCCTCCCTGCCTACTGACGTGCCCCATGCCAGGCGTATGGGCGCGGATTATGACAGTTAATAACGAAATGTTATCTCCCCTTTCATATAAGGGTGCGTTAACTCGTCCAGGGCCAGCAACTCACTGGGATGAGTCAACAAAGGGAGAGAACCTCGCCAACATGAGATGTAGATTAAAAAAACATCATTAAATTATTTGACGTCTTCGGTAATGAGAAAACCTTTTGTATAAGTGACGTATTAATTATGGAGATCACCCGTCATTCCGGATTGAATGGTAATTTCTTTTTCTAAACACTTGTGACAGGAATAGGTAAAGATTGGGTGATTGTTGGAAGAGATGTAATCTGATTGGGATTGTGGAAGAGATATGCGCTGAATACGAATGTTTGCTACTTTATGCAAAGCGGGTGTAAATAAAATTTTAGGTTCTGATGAATATTAATGAGCCCGTTGTATGAAGACTTTGGTATAGCAAATGAAAATGTATGTACATATTGAGTAACGTCACGCGAGGGTGAGGGGGGGGGGGGAGGGAGATCTGTGGGGGAAGTATGAAAGTTATATGCGTTATGTTATATGTGCGGCGCTGTGTGGGGCTGTGGGATGTGTTAGTATTTGCAGGTAAGTGTTATGTGGCGTGTATGCCGTTGGTAACGTGTGTGGTGTAATTTAGTGGTGTGTGGTTGTGTGGTTGAGCTATGTTGTGTATTTGGTTTAGCTAGGTACTGTGTGCTTGTGAGTGGTTGCGTATGTTTGTGTGGTATAGCGTCCCTATACATGACACCCCCCCCCCCCCAAAAAAAAAAACATCCACATACATTATATCCATATATCTAACATCCTTTACACAACATCCGTATACACACCAGCCCTACACATAAAACTCCTACACACAATAACCTTATATACAACATCCCTATACACTCCTCCATCCCTACACCCCCCCCCCCCCACACACACACTCTACATAAATAACATCCTTGCAACATGTACCAGTGAACCTGTTAATTGTGTCCCCTATACAACACCCCCTACACACCACTCCTCCCCTACACCCCCCACACACACCCCTCACCCTACATAACATCCCTACAACATATACCAGTGAGCCTGCTAACATGCCCCCCCCCCACACACACACACATCCTACATACATAACCACCTACAACATGTACCAGTGAGCTAGCTAACATGCCCCCCCCCCCCTGCGCCTCACACCGTCGTGTTTATTTGTGTTCTCTATCACACCTAGTCTACCACCCTTGCCGTGTTTGTTTACATCTGGAGGTCAAGTTCACCACGTCACGTGTACTGACCAATCAAAACGGCACGTCCGCTTGTGTTTAGAGTGGTCATTCTGTAGGTAAACACTGACCACCACCTCCCCCACCCAGGGGACCTGGACAGGCAGGGGGTCGAATATTTCACCACGGCTAGAGCCACGGGTGTCAGAATGTAGGCTATTAGCGGAGTCATTAGTGGCTCCGGGATGTACGGGGGGGGGGGGGGGGGAATGTGGGGAACTTGAACATCACAGGAATTTGACGTTAACATCACGGGAATTGGAGGGAACATCACGGGA